ACATGTGTAATTATTTTTATTTGTTTTTGTTATTTATTTATACAATTATCATGCGTTTATTATCAATGAATCAGTTGTAAATAGTGTTAGTTGTATTTCACGATGTAATAAGTTTTGATGAATTTAGTAGTTCTGGTACAAGATCTGCAAAGAATTGTATAAAGAAAATGATCATCATGAAAACGCCCATATAACAAAAAACTTCACAATCAAAATTATTTTTAATTTAAATAATTATTGTTTAATAATTTTTTCGTTTTAAATTTTTAAAAGCAGGAAAGTTACTAATGACGCTCACAGAAACTACAACCCAAGCAGCCCTGGAAACAAATGAAGATTTAAGAATTCAAGAACTTTTTGCCGCCTCGCAAAAATTATTGAATCAATCACAACCTTCGAATCCTAACAACAATAATAATCCTATTAGCACAAACCTTACAACGACTGATACTCCCACAACCTCTGCCTTTTCTATGCACCCAGAAATAATATCACAAGATAGAAATCAACCAAAACCAAGAAGAAATTCAAAAAAAAAAAATGTCGACAACTATAATTTTGGTGACGCTTCTGATTATTCATTACCCGTATCCAATAACGGTTCAACTCCATCTTTAATTAGTATGACAGGTATACCACCTTCACCTCCTACTATGAACCCAATAAATTTAAATAACAATGGCAATAATATATCATCATCATCAACTATTCCTCATAATATGACTTCAAATAATAATAAAAGTGATCGTGTTAAATCATCATCATCACATCGTGAAAGAGCTGATATTAATAAAGATATACCAACTGGTCCACCAGAATTAATTAGAGATCCAACAACAGAATCATTTTCATCTCACGCATATGGTTGGCCTATTTTGTTTGCTGTCATACCTCCAATGGGTGCTCTTATTTTTGGTAAATCTGATATTTGGAGCGATTTTCTTTTATTGCTTTTAATTGCATTCTATCTTTATAATATCATCAAAGGTATTTATTTACTTACATTAATTATTATTTACGAATGATTTTTTTTTTAAAAAAAAATTAATGGTGGCAATAATGGCAATAATTATTAATAATTAAAATTTTTCTTAAAAATACAAATACATAGTACCTTGGGAACTTTATTATGCTGCTAGGTCTAGACGTGTAATAAACGAAAGTACGACTCAAGATCAAGCATTAGATCCAACTCAAGAAGCCATCAAAAATCAAGCAATCAAAGAACTTCAACGTCAAGAATTATATGCTTTAATACTTGTCGTCGCCTCCCCAATCATCGGTGGTTATACATTACATGGTGCAAAAATGTATATGACTGACTATGACAAATACATTTCTCATTTTAATATTGTGTTGTTCGTTTTTGCTGCTGGTATTAGGCCTTTAATGCATATAGCCAATTTAGCAAAAAATAGAACTTTACACCTTCAAGAACAAGTCCATTATCCTAGTACAGAAGTTGAATTGTTGAAAAGACGTGTCCAACATTTAGAATATGAATTTTCACAACTACGTAAAGGTTTAGCAACAAAACGTGATATACTCAATGTCAAAGATGGATTTGAACCATCGATTTCCCAACTGAACAAGGCGGTTAGAAGATATGAAAAGAAAGAACAATACTTGCGTAATTATTCTGAGGAAAGATTTTCTTATCTCGAATCAAAATTACTTGAATATGACAATTTCATTGCTTATAAACTGCAAGAAGAGCAAGCAATGATTTTGCCACGTAGTATGAAGCAGGTAGTGACCCTGCCAGTAAATGTCACTTTAACAGCGTTTAGTTATGCAAAATATTTTTTGCCTAGATCTCTAAGAGGTGGTCGTCAAAAACCAATGTTACAACCTGCTACTTCATCTGATAACGATGCTGATGGATTTAATAATAATACCATTAGTAACAGTAAATTAACAGGAGAAAATATTCAACAAAATGATTTGACTTCTGGAATTTTACAAAAATATTAAAAAACTTCATTTTAATCCAACATTTTTTTAATTCATTCATTCATTTCTTAGAATTTATTCACTTATTTAACTTATTAATTATTTTTATTATTAATAATGTTGTTGTTATCATTATTATACAAGAAACATTCTTTTTATTGTTACATTTTAATCACCACATCACACATTATACCATTATATCGTTGTCACACACACCATCTACACCTACACACATTTCCACATATCCACGTTCCCTTTAATATTAATTATTCATCCTTCCCCCAACTCGCTTTACATATTTATTAACTCATATTTGTTTGTTTGCTGGAAAATTAAGATCTTATCGAGAAAAATAATTCAATCATTTAAATAAATTTGTAATGTTGATCATAAACAGAAAAAGAATGAAACAAAGCAATAATAAAAAGTTTCATAAAATATTGTTAATTTATTTAGATTATATTGTATCATTTTTTATTTTGGGATTTTATTTATCTGTATATATTATCACTTTATCATATTATTATATATATCATATTTCAATAATAATAAAAAGAAAAAAATATATTTTTTATCCCCAACTATTATCATATAAACAAATTTTGTACACTTTTTATTTATATTTACTTTTACAAATTATTATTTCTACAAATCTTACAATTTACAGCCTTCCTCCTCTTATTTTTCCAATATATTTACATTTAGACTCTACAATTATCAACTTTAAAAACCAAGATATCTCTAGCTCCAATTTCTTCCAATTTATCCATAATATCTGCCACCTCATCTTTACAAACCATACTTTGTATCTCAATCCATTCACCATCCTCCAATGGACTTATCGTTGGAGCCTTTCTTCCTGGTGTAATTTTTGTTGCCAATTTCAATTTTATTCGTTTGATATTATAACTTAGCAACACATATTTTTTTGCCGCAATAACTCCTTTTATGCGTGATGTAATTAAGTTTACCAATGATAGATTTGTTGAATGGTTGTTTTTGATTAGGATTGCTTGCGTGGTTAAAATTGTTGAAATTGGTTCTAACCCTGCTGCCCTCATCGTCTCGCCTGATTCTAAATATATAAGAAGAACATCAATAATATGCTTTACGAATTTGAATTTGAGTATTAATAAAAAGCAGAGTACTTATTAAAAAGGAATACTAACCAACCAAGTCGACTGTATATTACATATAACAATAATTTAATATGATATTGGATTAAATTTATTTTTCAATAAAAATAAAATAATTGAAATTAAAAAACAATCAAACAATCAATTACCAATTCCGTCAGCCAAACCAAGAGCACAGGCTGCTTCAACGCTTCCACTAACATACTGAATCATAGTTTTTTTTCCAGCAGCTCTTTCCTCTTCACTCAAATACTGTTTATCCAATTCTCCAAAATAATTTGCCACCAAGTCTTCAAAACTAGTAACTATTCGTTTACCAACCAACTCTTTTACATCTTTGATTTGATTTCTGACAGGCGCTTGCACTTGGAGTTTACACTTGCCAAAACCTAACTCAAGTATCACCTCAACTTTCGAAGACATTTGTGACTCTGCGATGATATCTTGACCGGTTATGCCTAAATCTACATTACCCTCCCCAACAAATTTTGCTATATCTGCTGCTGGTAAAAATACTATGGCTATGGGTAAATTGTGCACCAAGGCAATGTCAAGTCGATTGTTTCGATGAAAAGTTATATCGGCTCCTTCTAATAACGAGATGCAATGTTCATGAAGGCGACCTTTTTTTGGAATGGCAAACAATAAACGATCAGATAATTGAGATATTAACTCCATTTTTTCTTTTTCTTTTTTCCTTTAAAAATATTGATCAGCATAACTGATAACTATAATTATAATCCGCAGTTCACAATAAATTGCGCCATGTAATTAGTACAAATTTAGAAATTAAAATCAAAATACGTATATATATACCAACATCGGTTCCGATGATCATTTATTGTTGGATGATCTTTACGTTCATTCAAAGAAGTTATAGAAGTTATTCACTTTTTAAATAATAATAAAAAAATTTTTAACCACTAATCAAGAATTACGCGTGTTACACATGTATATTTTAGTAACGGAAGTTTTTATCGGAATTTTATTATATATATATATAACAATATTTAATATTAATATTATTTATTATCATGCCATGAGAATTGCGAAAAAAATGATTATCATATTAATTTATATTAAATATAGAAAGTTCATTTTCCTTTTTCCCACAAAAAAAAAAATAAATTAAAAAAAAATAAAATAAAATGTATTATATCAACACATTGCAAACTCGTATACGAGAAGGTGAGATAGATCCATTGCCGATTAAAGGAGAAGGTTATTACCATCGACACGAGCCTGCAGAATTCACAGTGGAAGAAGTAAAGAATTCCAATGTTAAATACACAGCAGTTGGTACAATATTCTTGACAGATAAAAGAATAATATTTATAGCTAATGAACCTTCGATACCTGATGGATTTAAGACGTTCTATGTATTTTTGTCAGATATCGTTTCCTCAGTTACACCACCAAAGTTTTTTTCCTATAAAAATAAAAATGTTTTCACCACAGAGATAAAATTAAAGAATTCAGCTGTGTTGAAACTTTCGGTTAATTATTGTGGTGGGTATCAAGAAGACGAGGAAGCTAGAGATATTTTTGAAGATTATTATGGAATGTTGACCGCTGCTTTGCGAAGAATAGTCTAAATTATTCAAATCATCAACATAAAAACATATTCTACTGAATGTGTTGACGATACCTGATAAGTTGTTGCTGATTCGTTTTCATCTCACAATCATCGTCATGGTCATGTAAGAAAAGGTTTATCTCCATATCATTAAATTAATATTTTATATTCTTTTTCTTGATTTGTAATTTTATTATTTATATTTATTTTATTATTTTTAACATGGGATAGTTTTCATTTTATTAAATAAACAAAAAATTTTAAATGATTAATTTTTATAATAGACTATTTATTATTTATTAGTTTTTTGATATCAAAAAAAAATTTAATATTGGTTATTTCATTTCAACAATTTCTGGTCCACCTTTATTTTTTTCTTCTTGTAACATCCTATTGGTAGCAATCCCAAAAAATTTTTTCTTTACAATATATCTAAGACACTGTAAAATCACATTCTTTTCCTTTACGGTTTCCTTATACAATAGCATTTCACGTAAATTTCTACAATGAACTCTTTTATGATCTGGAACTTTTGAAATAATTGGCGGACTAACTAATTTTCCTTTATGTAAATTTTGACAATCATTGCCTTTAGGGCAATGTCCTTGTCGGTATTTGATACACACTTTATCATAATGTTTCTTCCTATTGAATCTATGGTTGTTGTTATTCTTATTCTTATTATTATAATTATTTCTATTATTTCTATCATTAGTGGTTGTTGGTTTGTTTTTAAGTGAAGAATGTTCATTTGCAACCATCAACAAATCATTATTTGAATTTGGTCTTGCGAATTCTCTATTATTTTTGTTGTTGTATTTTTTGTTGTTGCTGCTGTAGTTGTTGTTGTTGTTGCTTGAAGAGAAATGAGTTCTTTTGTCCTTGTGATAATTCGCTGGATTACTAGACGACAAAATATTACCATGAGCCTTTTTTTCTTCTTCTAACTTTCTTTTACGTGCAATATTCGCTTCAGTTGGATAACGTTTTTTACGTTCTTCAATCCATTTGGCAATTACTTCTGGTGTATCAAGCTTTAATTGAAACAATGGATTTTTGGCTTTTTTGATCTTTAGATTTGTATAATAACGATTATTAATACTATCATTATTAATACTATTACTATGATTAATACTATTACTATTATTAATACTATTACTATGATTAATACTATTACTATTATTAATACTATTACTATTATTAATACTATTATTATTATTATTATAGTTGTAATTATAATTATTATTAATAAAATTAGATCCACCACCACCAATATTATTAGGTTTTTTATGCTGTTCTAAATGCACGAGAAAGGTTTCATATTCGATAAACTGCCAACCGCATTGTACGCAAGTCCAATTATTAGTTTGAATAATTGAAGGAAATTTGTCGTTGTTGTCGTTGTTGTAGTTGTTGTTGTCGTTGCCACTATTACTATTTTGATTTTTATATTGAAGTGTTGAGGTGGCTACATTTATAGCTTGAAAAATGTTTGGAGAAGGAGGTTTCATATTCGATAAACTGCCAACCGCATTGTACGCAAGTCCAATTATTAGTTTGAATAATTGAAGGAAATTTGTCGTTGTTGTCGTTGTTGTAGTTGTTGTTGTCGTTGCCACTATTACTATTTTGATTTTTATATTGAAGTGTTGAGGTGGCTACATTTATAGCTTGAAAAATGTTTGGAGAAGGATCATTTGCTGTTTGTTGTTGTGTATTTTGAAAAGAACCTGTTGATTTAAACCAGTTAAACATTGTGGTTGTATCATTGATTGATTGATTGATTATGAGATCTCTTTATGCAAAATATTGTTTCACGAAAGGTTGAATCTTATAATGTGTTGTACAACATTAGTTATCAAACAGTTACTATTATTATGACTATGTTTATAATTAGATTTATATAATATAGGAAAAAATAGTGTTAATTAATCAAATTTCTTTCTTAGATATTAAAAGGAATATTGGGTGAGTTGTGACGCTTTTAATCAACGTGATGATGTTTTCACATTCATATTTTTATAAGCTATTAACAACCAATTATTATTTGAAATTTATGCCAATACTCCTTCCGGTTAATTATCTCAGGATCACTCACTTCATTCAATTTTATTGGTTGACAAACTATGGCATACAACAGTGATTGAACGACAATTCAACAATAAATATAATTATAAAGATTTTGGTCCGGAACATTATTTACCTTCATTTTTGACGGGTTGGATCGAAATTAATTAATTTTGTTGTATCTCTCATTCGTTATCACGTTCTCCACTTTTTGATTATCCGGAATTCTAAAGGTCAATCCTATAATTAAAGAGTCAGGCTGACAAATTATAAATCATTGAAATATAAAAAACACGCTTTAAAACAAGAACTTTATGGTTTTATTTATTAGCAAATGCGCGACTTTAAATTAGATCCAGGCACACCTTTAACATATTTACCAGGTATTGCA